CTCCAAAACAGAACCAGACTAAAATATGTTAAACACGTATTTTTCGTTTTTTGATAGCTTCATTGATTCAAGAAAAATTCAGCGAGCCATCTACAAAGGACACCCGGTACAAGGAGAATGAAATGGAAGGACGAGAATCGTTAGATTCTTTTATTCACTCTTTTTACCTACTTGTTAACATTGTATACGTCAAAACAACGTCCGCTTTGCCAAGCTATAGTAAAATATAATAAATAAAATGTAAAGTATAATATATTTGTCGCCGAGAATCAAATAGATTTCACGACATTTGAAAAATGGCAAAAAGGAGGGAAAATTCAAAAGGTGGGGTTGAGATGGGATGTTAGTGCCCGAGTTGATCGAAGTCACGATAGCTCAAGTGGGAGAGTAGCAGCGTATCTAGCCGAAGGTCGTTGGTTCGAATGCCGCTCGTGACACTGACTTTTTTAAAAATTTAAGTTTATTTCTGCAATTTTGTATAAGATTAGCTGGGAAAGATGAACCCGTGATTTTTTATATGAATAACGATGAATTAGCCAAATAAATATTGATCAGATGACATTATCCCTTTGACCCCTTTGATTTTGGTTGATTCTGAAGAAAGGTTTTTACTGTTGTTTCTTGAGGTCTAATCTTTCATTCATTCAAATATTGTTTCCAAATTTTGAATAGTTCAATTATTGAAAGGTTTACGTTATACTAGGCGAGATTGGAGAATAATCGAATCCAACCAAAATGTCCAGTTATTCAATAAAATGTAGGCGATCAAGTAAATTTATGATTTAGAAATCATATTTCTATGTCAACCTAAGGTCACTTAATAATTACAATAAAAAATTGAATGAAATACTTCAATAGGCAGACAGATTTGACTTTAAGATAATATATAATAGTGAAAAACTATTGACAAACGAACATATTCGACAAATACCAACGTGGACAATTATTCAAAACCACGTCATATCGTCGCAACAATGCTCATGAACGGCTAAATTATTCAAATTGAACGTGTGGTGAGAACAAAAATCGGCCTGGGCTGTGATCAATTAGTTTTGTTTTCCCCTGTCTCCTGCACATGTTGCCGATCCTTGAAATTCCTCGGGCTTATCTTCTTTTGTATAGCAGTTTTGACAGGTCGGGGGAAAATGTTATGAATGGGCCAAGGCTTATCTGTAAGCGACCGATCCTTTGGTTCTTGCTTGTGATGACGGCAATGAAAGTGGTTTTCCATTAATCCTTTTTTAAACAACGGTTTGACTGAAACAAAACTCACATTCAACATATATAAATAAATGCAGTGATTATTGTAAATTGATTTAGCGATATACAAAACCCACTCGTGTTTGAAGATTGTTTTGCCTTCTTACTTCATAATCACCAAGTTATTTTGTATTTTATACTTTCTAAAGTCGGTGTGTTTCTTAGTGACCTGTTGTTTCATAATTTGTTGAAGTCGTGAGGGGCGGTCAAGAATGAGGTTACTTAGAAAAACACCTTTTTCATATTTTTGCCGAAGTTTCGACCTTTATTCGGGTCATCTTCAAGGCATAAAGTGTTTTTTTTTACAAGGGTTCGCAACAGCAGAGGTCACATAAACCCTCAGGGTGCCGGTGTTTTTGAAAAAAAGCACATTTGTAAGTATGTCGGGTTCGAATGCAGGGCCGCTGGATTCGAACCCGGGACCTTTACCTTACAGTTATGAGCGCCGTGTCAACGCCTAAACCGTTGCGGCCACCGACGCCCTATAAAAAGTGTTATTAGCAATAGAATAGCACCACGCTTTATGCCCTGAAGATGTCCCGAATAAAGGTCGAAACGCTAGCAAAAAAAGGAGTTTTTCTATACTACCTCAGTCTTGACCGCTGCTCGCGCGACTTCAACATATTATTTCTAAAGTCTAGTGAGCAAGATCCCCTCCAAATAAAAAACTTTCTCCTTCCAGTAGACATGGACTAGCGAACTGTTTACGAAGTTCGTTATGAACTTTAATTAGAGGTGGTATCGGTTTCATTTTCCTCCTCTGGATGTGAGTGACACCCTGCCACTATGGCCCCTTCTCAATCTTTTTGTGTTGGTTGACAGTTCAGCACTTTGAATGATTTGCTAATGTAATGCCATCTTCAAAATTGCCCATTTTTTTCTGCTGATTAAAACATATGCCTATTGTTATCTTTGTGTAGCCTTTTAGATTATTTAAATAGGGAGAAATAATTTTCCTAATATGTCCAATGTTTCTTGATAATTCCGAAATCGATGTTCTACTATTTTTCGTTCCTAATATTATTACGCGTTCAAAAAAGGAGGTCAAACAATTGGAACGACCAAAAACGTTTACATACCTAGTAGGAACAAGCTGTATTATAACTTGGTACAGAATTGGTTTTATATTTGACCCTTTTATGTCATGAAAATGTATTAGACTGTCTTCATATCGCCAAGTGTACTAAAGATCATGCATCAAACCACCATCAGACGATTTTACTTCTCAAATCAATACGACTTACTGACGAATTATCTATGACTTCAGGTGTCCCAAGGTTGAATGATTGCCATTTCGGTTGTTTGTAGAACAAGGCCGAAAACTCGGGCCTTTTGTACTTCCTCAAGGCGGAAGAGCTGAATGATAATTTTTGGTTTGTCTTGTGATTTTCAATTCGTCATAATAATAGGCTTGTTTTCTCTCTGTATCTCGGTAGGCATTAGATATTTCACCGTCGGATTAGGGTCAAATGAGTAAGCCTTCCGTCTTTTCATTAACTTCTGCACCGTTTGTACTTCTCGAACTCGCGTTAACTTAATTCTCATTTAGTTTTTAGTCTCATTTAGTTTTAGTCATTTCTCTCTGCAATGGTAAAAAATATTTTATTATAATAATGATAGACATTATGTAAATTAAACAATAACCATGTAAATTACAGTATTTATAGCAGTAACAAGCTTTCACACAATACATATAAATGTTTTGTACAATCTAACTATATTTTTTGTGGTCGCGACAAATTAGCACTGAAATTTTATAAGAGACTTGTAGAAGTTCTAAAAACGTATGTTCATTACTTTTTACTTTCTAGAAAAACGAGAATATTAAAAACCTCTTACGATCGTGGATAATACAGCGAAATCATTGTTGATTTCAGGCAGCTGAATTCCGTGAGTCACCACTGATTGGATGTCAACTTGGTTTCATTTTCGTTCTAAAGTTTTTGCTTATTCATACGTATAAAACGTGTTTCTCTTAAGGAAATGGCCCATTGTTCGAAATAAGTGTTAATCTGAAATTTAAAAAAATAAGGTGCCCTTGTGAAACCTCCAAGTCCGATCGGCGGGGTGACGTTGTCGAAGTTGGGTCGTTTCTTATCAATTTGTTCGCCATTGTGTTCCACAGACCCATCACTGAAGAGGGCGAGAAGCCGAAAAACGTTTGACAATAACAGCAAAGGTAGATGGACCAAAATGATCGGATACGATCGAAACTAAAGGTGATACCAGCCCGGTTCCATACAATTGGTAAAGTTTTGATATTTATCCGATTTTCGTCTTTTGATGTGTGCTGTCTTTTCGCCAATTCTGAATATCGTTTCTCTAAAACCTCGCTGTTGTTCTAGATAGACTAAGTACATGTCAGTTTTTTCTTTTCTTTTTTCTTCTTTAACATCGCCTAGCGACATGTGGAGCTAACTTCCGTCAATTTCCTCACTAGTTCTTTTCTCGTTTAGTGACAGGGAGTTTTTTGGTGGCCCTGACAAGGGCCGGTGTTGTTAGGAAGCGTAGCGTTGAGACGATGAATCGAGGCCGAGACCGAGTGCGTGTGCCTGTTGGTAGAGAGAGCAGTTGGCTGAGATCCGGGTCCGACAGTCGGCTGACTCATCGGTTGAAGGGACTCTGGTGCAACAATTGGCCGGGTTCGAGGTTAACGGTGTGAGTACTCTATCCATCCTCGTAGGTGCTTCATTAGTGATAAGCGAGAACTCGTCGGGTTGACGTGTCTCCAAGGTGTGAGTGAGACCCGATGGGTTGACGACCCTGAAGCCAATGGGGCAGTGCCCTGCTTACATACATTATAGGCACTGATCTGCAGAGCGGAGGGCGAGACCATTCCAGAACCCATAGTGACACCGAACGGGTACCGTGGTAACCGTAGGTTTCCACTACAGGCGAAACGCGCATCCCCTGGATTTTGAAGTTGCAGTTTCCAGGCGAAGTTCGATTAAAATTGTGATATTTCTTGTCGGCCTGTTCAAAATCCTGTCTTTTCCTACCATTCATTCTGGTCAGCGAGGATAGGAAGACCAAAATGATCGTGTACGAACTAAAGGTGATAACTGCTCGATTCCATAACTTTGCCAAGTTTATTACATATAGATATAGATTTATTTCGGGGGATAGGAAGGCCTGGATGTTAGGATGCTCAGCTTTCTGCTAAATGATTTCTTGCGGAAATTCTCTAATCCTTTTCAATTTTCCTACTTGTGTAAGCAACAAGTTATGTGTGATAAACCTAATTTCTAATATAATATGAATGCATAGGCAATCGTTTATTTGTAGTTATTCTCAGCTTTCGGTATAATAACTTGCTTTATTTCTTGTTTTACTTAAATTATCAACATAACCATTTTAATGATGCTAAGCGGCTGCTGCAAAATAACCGAAATAATCTGGAATTAAAAGATGGTCTTCTGTTGTCTGCAAGGCTCTGACATGTAATTTGGTCGTTGCCGATCATATTGATCTGCTTACTCTCGCTTGGTTGGTATGACATAAGCGTTCGCCATTTCGCCATCTTCACTGTGTCTATTACGTACCGAGATCATCTGGATAAAAGATTAGAAGTAATGAAGCAGTACCGTTCATTATTTTCCCTGTCCGATCCTATGTTTTTAAGTGCAACACAGCATAAAATTATTAGTTTATTTTCTAACGCATGGGTGAAAATACCCGTTAATCCAAACCACTCCATCTCCGATTTGACAACAATATAACGAAAGTGTTTTTCTTTGCAGCAAGATTCGTTTTCGACCAGCTGGCCAAAGAGGGTGAAAATCGTGGAAGTCGGGCCACGAGATGGTCTGCAGAACGAGCCGAAAAACATCCCGACCAACGTTAAAATCGAACTCATCCAACGGCTGACAGAAGCCGGCCTGAAGGACATAGAAACAACTAGGTGAGTCGGTCAAGCCCGAATTAAAAATTCGGGTCATCTCATTACGGGTCGTTGTCCTTCCATATGACATTCAGTTTTTACCATTGCTTTTACATATTATTTACACACATTAAAATGAACTAATAATTACTAATTTCAACAACTATTCAACGTATTCTACATTATTGGGAGATCGTGAGATGCGGTCTGGTGTGACGTAGGTTTTAGAAAAACATTTTCTTTATCGTGCAAACGTTTCGATCTTACACACAGAACAAAACAAATACAAATGTAACTTTTTAGAAATAGGTTACATCAACAGAGATAAACACAGCATCAATTACAGAACAGACACATGTAAAATCAGTCGCAGCTATCATTAATCAAATCCAATATCAATAACATACATATATCATCATCACATCGCTCAAAACATATAACATATAAAACAATCATCACATTCGACACATCAAACATTTGTACATAGTCTAATTCTTCAACAATTGGGCTTTCCTTTTCTTAATCATCCCCGTCTATATAATCCTAAAAGGATAATCAGGACGAACCATTAACCACTCTTTTCCCACTGTCGGCTCCTTTCACCTCAAAGAAGCCGACTCCTCATATGAAAATGTCTTTCTATCCCTACTTCCTTCCCCACCCCTTCAAAATCGAACGTATATAAACATAAAACAGCAATATCTCACTGGCACTCTCAACATGACACAAGAATGACCCAATTACGCAGAAAACAATTACTTTGAGTGAGTAGAAATACTTTGATTCAATTTTAAAAAAATATTTTTTCGCATTGTATAAATTCATTTTTTTCCTACATGTATTTGTTAAATTTAAACAATGTTTGTAAATCCCAGGTCCTGAAGAAGATCTCAATAAAGATCGAAACGTTGGCACGATAAATAAAATGTTTTTTCTAAAACCTACGTCACACAGACCGCATCTCACGATTTCCGAATAATCATTGACTAACGGTCACAAAACACCACACATATTCTACATTTCCAAAATCTACAGAAAAAAATTTAAAGGGCAATTTGTTATATGTATGTACTTATTTTATTTGAAAGAGTTAAAATGTTCGAGTCATCAACTTAGTAGCTAATTCTTAGAAATATTTGTTTACCAGTACTCACCCAAACGGCATGCAGATTGCCTGATGCTTAAATAAGGTAAGACAATCGTTTGTTTTGAATGAAATGGGTAAATTGTGTCGACAGACGGTTCGATAATGACTCAAGGCAATCGAAAGTGCTTTACTTCCAATGCTCAATTTCTTTGCTGATATGAAAATGCAAATCAGTTCAAATATAAACTCTTTTAGGACGAAACCCTTTTATACATTATTAATTTATACTTATTTAGAGATCGTGAGATGCGGTCTGGTGATCTCTAAATAATCATTAACTAACGGTCACTAAATATCACACATTAATTTATACATTTTCCTTGCACTTGTTTTCGACCATAAAACTTAGATTAACATAAACTTCTACATAAGTATAGAATGGGTATAGACGGATTAAAAATAGAATAATCTCTACTGTTGTGTGTAATTATTGAGTTTGTGTTGATTTTTATTTTGGTACACTGGGCAATATTGCACCAAGAAAAAGCAAACAGGGTATCAGGATTTCAACAAAATAATTTTACTATGGAAAGAAAGAAGAAAATAGTCGATTCAATACGGAGTATGGAACTCCTCTTGCATTTGACATGGCATCGATTTTATGTGGTTTTGCATGTAATGAGGGGAATATTTTCATACTCCTTCAACAGTGCCATTCTAAATTCCTGAAAATTTTCTAGCATCACTGGGCGACTTTTTACCCTCTTTGACAACTCGTCCCAAAGGAGGTCGGTATGGTTTAAGTGTTGTGACTTTGCATTGTCATGCATAAAAATAAAGCAGATCGTCGATGTATCGCGCAACTGTTAGGGAACCCTCGATGAAAATAAAGTTTGTGCGACCTTCCATGCCTGCCCAAAACAGGATCTCACCAGGGGAACTCGATGGCCGAGTGGTTACGCTGAACGACTTTTATTTGCGGCGCTAGCAGTTTTGGGTTCGAATCCTGACATAAATAATGGAAAATATGAAAAACGTATTGTAAAGTGGTTTGACCTCTCGTCCACGACACCCAACAGGTAGTTTGACGTTAAGCCCTTCTGTAAGACCGAAATTACTTTACTTTTTACTTACATTGTCTCACCATCTTTGGCATTTTTTTCTCTCAGACACTCAGGACAAAATTATCTAGTGTAATTACCATTAAATCTTATAAATTATTAATTTATAAGTCCTTCCCCAGACATCAGGAAGATCTGAATTCCATAAACGAATGAGCATATAAAAACTACCTAGAATTAAATTATAGAAAGCCCAAAGCCAATTATAGGGTCACCTCCTCAAATGCCTCCCCCCATTGCTCCTTTCTCCATCAACATCCAGCCTACCTCCTGCTCCACTGTGAAAAACCTCGGTGTTATCTTCGACCAGAACCTTTCCTGGAAACCACACATTTCCCCATTTTCCCGACACTGTATTGGAACCCTCATTCAATTCCGCAGGTCCCGCCTCCTTCTACCCTCCACCACACGTAAACTCCTAGTCTCCTCCCTCATCTTTCCCTTCTTCAATTACAGTTATGAGGCTTATGGTGGATTTCGGAGGGATTTGAAGAGCGTCTGAAAATACTGATGATTTGTTGTGCCCGATTTATTTTCAGCAATCCTCCCAAATGTCTAGAGTCTGACACCTGCATTCAGATCTATCCTGGCTTTATCCATCCTTCCGTAGAAAGTATTTCCTAGACTTCTTCCTTTACCAATCCATAAATTCTCGTCGACCTCACTATATTTTCAAGATACTTCGTTTCAAATCCTCTATTCGCTCTCTTAACACCCGCTAGTTTCTCAATGACCTGTTGACAATGACCTTTGTTTCCTATTCCTTCACTACTTTCGTGGCCCGCTTGACCAATTAATACAAGACAATTAATTAAGGTTTTTAGTTGATATGAAAGAAAGTTTATGGCACGAGAGAGATTCGAACCCTCGACCTTCGGCTAGATACGCCGCTGCTCTACCACTTGAGCTGTCGTGACTTCGATCCCCTCGGGCACCAACTTCCCATCTCAACCCCACCTTTTGAATTTTCCCTCCTTTTTGCCAATTTTCAAATGTCGTGTAATCGGTTTGGATTCTCGACGACAATTGAAATGGCGACGGAGAGCTTTAGTGAAGTGTACTTCATTTTTAAATCATTAATTCACTACTTTCGTGGCCCGCTTGACCATTAATACTTCTGACAATTAATTAAGGTTTTTAGTTGAGATGAAAGTTTTTTTTTTAAACGTTGATTTAATAGTAATAATTAAACATGGCATTAATGTGTTGAAATGTGTTTGGAAGCCAAACTGACCAAAAAGTGACAATAGGAACAAAGCAATTAATTAAGGTTTTTAGTTGAGATGAAAAAAAGTTAATGGCACCTCGATCCACTCGGACATCAAAAGGAGGATCGAGGTCACGATAGCTCAGGTGGTAGAGCAGGGGCGTATCTATCCGAAGGTCGTGGGTTCGAATCCCTCTCGTGCCATTAACTTTTTTTCATCTCAACTAAAAACCTTAATTAATTGCTTTGTTCCTATTGTCACTTTTTGGTCAGTTTGGCTTCCAAACACATTTCATCACATTAGTGCCATGTTTAATTATTACTATTAAATCAACGTTTAAAAAAACCTTTACTCTCATTTTGTTAAATTATTATAATGAACCAAATGAAACTTATCGGTGATACCTTATATTAAAATTGTATTTATGAAATCAGCTATGTCTTATGTTTACCTGATACATTCTACTTTCTTTCTGTTTGCAGTTTTGTTTCACCCAAATGGGTACCACAAATGGGCGACCATAAGGAGGTCATGCAGAGCTTAGAGAGGCTTCCAGGCGTCAATTATGTCGCTCTAGTACCCAACCTAAGAGGGCTCGAATCTGCAGTAAGTTTCAATAAATGTTATTGCTACAGCCAAATATTAATTTCTCAATTGTAGCAATCGGTGGATACCAAAGTGATAGCAGTATTTGGCGCTGCGTCTGAGACTTTCAGCCTTAAAAACATCAATTGTTCAATAGAAGAGAGCGTTAACAGGTTCAGAGATGTCGCAAATGCAGCTAAAGCGAAAGGAATGAAAGTCAGAGGTTATGTGTCCTGTGTATGCGGCTGTCCATATGAGGGAGCTGTCGATCCAAAAAAAGTCGCTTATGTAAATAACACAAGAAAATCTTGTGCACATTACTTGAAAAATTTAACTCAACATTTTTTTAGGTAGCTAAAAAGCTAGATGAAATAGGTTGTTATGAAATTTCTCTGGGTGACACAATAGGAGTTGGAACACCCGGTACTATGAAAGCAATGCTAGAAGAAGTTATAAAAGAGGTTCCGGTTAATAAACTCGCTGTTCACTGTCACGATACTTACGGTCAAGCACTGTCGAACATCTTAACCGCACTACAGGTAACTTAAACTATTTTACATTTTTAACCATTCAACTGATGATGTAAAATCCTTAGATGGGTGTCACGGTCGTCGATTCATCAGTGGCAGGGCTTGGCGGTTGCCCGTACGCAAGAGGCGCCTCTGGAAACGTCGCGACAGAAGATCTAGTCTACATGCTCAATGGCATGGGCATCAAAACTGGTGTTGATCTCAGCAAAGTTCTGAGTACAGCAGCATTCATTTGCAATGCCCTGGACAGAACAACACAGTCAAAAGTCGGCCGGGCCATGCCGAAATTGTGACTTTGTTGTCGTGGATGTTAATAATACCTGTGATTTCCTTTGAACTTCAGTGATAAACTGTCCTATCCAATTCGATAAAAAATTATGTTTATTTACGCATTGTTAACATTTTTGAATATTTTTTTAAATAAAGTTAGTAATAATTTTTTTAAATTTATTTTATACATTCACATCCCATTACGTTGAAATATTTTTTTTTTTGCTTTGCCGGCCAGGCATCCGTCACGCAACAAGTATCGAAGTCATGAAGATTCAAATAGACTCTGGGGTCTTAATCCGGATGTTGTGGGTTAGAGACCTGCTCATCACAATAACTTTTCATCTTAATCTCACTTTTTATAAAAAAATAATTAATTAATTAAAAATAAATACATACTTTCGTTAAGATGACCAAAAGTAGTAACATACATATCAATCCTATCTAAGCTCGAATCCCTTTCTTCCTACAACAGCACCATCACATGGTTCCACTCTATCTTACCAATCGACTTTAAGCTGTCGTCCCACAGCCACACTTCCTCCTTCCTTCCATTAAAATCTCTCCCATCCTTTTCAGTATCTACATTATGACCTCAACGATTCCATACAGTATTGGAACTAACTTTTATGCTGACGACGCCCAGGACTACCTGTCCTTCTATCCCTCTGAACTATCATTGTCCATCCCTATCCAGTAAGACTTAAATTCCATCAACAACTGGGCCCACGAAAATTCCCTCAATCTCAATCTTACAAAGTTCACAGCTGTTATAATAGGAATTGGGATCCAGTCATCTCAAATCCCTCTTCATATCCTCTCTCCATCAATAACCAGCCCATTTCCTCCCCCCTACGTTAAAAACCTTGGAGTTACCCTTGACCAAAACCCTCTCCTGGTACCCTCATTCACATTTCCCGCCGTTGTATCACCTCCCTCATTCAATAACGCCGTTCCGGGCTCCCCCTACCGTTTTCCACCCGTAAACTCCTCCTCTTCTCCTTCTTCGACTTTATGTGGCTTACAGTTGGCTTTCGGGGGAACAAAGTAAGCTCCTAAAAAGATTAATTGGGGGCGACGGTGGCCGCAAGGTTTAGTCTTTGACACGGCGCTCATCACTGTAAGGTAAAGGTCACGGGTTCGAATCCAGCGGCCCTGCATTCGAACCCGACATTCTTACAAATGGGCTTTTTTTCAAAAACACCGGCACCCTGAGGGTTTATATGACCCCTGCTGTTGCGAACCCTCGTAAAAAGATTAAAATTAAAAAAAAAAAAATTAATGAACTGTCAGGTTTATATTCGGCATCCCCATCACGGCAATATTCGTTCGTATCCTGACTCTGCCCCTCTTCTCGAAGTTTTTATTTTCTTGGTTCCTTCCTTACCAATTAACACTCATCGTCCTCATTACATTATCCAGTGCATCCAATTCAAATCTTCTTAGAACTCCCTCCCCTTAACTAACTGCGATGCCTCTTCCCTTACCTCTTTTAAACATCTCTTGAACAAACACCTTCTCTCCCTCCAAACAGACTATTCAATCACGGTTTAAATTTACTCAGTAATTATTATTTTTCTATGTTAATTTTCAGCAACCTATTTTAATTTTAACTACTTAGGTTTTGGTTTATATAAGTCCGTTGTATTACGTTGAATACCACGACAAGGTTTATTTTTGTGTCAAAATATTAATAATTTTTACTTTAACCTATGTATTTTTCTAAGGGGTCACTTCAGTCCCAGAAAAAATTATTTCTTTTTTTTCTTCTATAAAAACACTAACATGTTGAAGATTATTTTTCCCTAAAACTGTAAATTATTCCATTGGCCACTGAGGAATTGCTACGAAATTAAACATTAACAAGAAAAAGCATTGTAAATTAAAATTTAATTGTTTAAAATAAAAATTATGTACAAAATGTATAGAACTTTATTGTGTTTAACATGCATAGCACAATGCAACTTTTTAAACATTATTTTTATACATAAATTAATTAAAAACGCAGACTTTATTAATAACAATATAATACATTTTTCAAATAAAAAATATTTTATACAAATGTGCCAACCTCCCACATTCACTTAGAAGTGTTTTCTGTTTGATCCCAGTTTTTCAGCTTTGTACTCATCAAAAAGTTATCTTTGAGCACCTCCCATTTGTTTGCATCTTGATCTTCTTCTTCCTCTTTCATCTCAAAGTCTTCTGCAACCTCAACCTGAAAAAAAAATTATGAATCGGCTTTTCTTTTAATTGTCTAGCGAAGAGGGTGAGTACCTCATCTTTGATTTCATCTTTTTGCTCGCCCATGAGCATTTTTAAGAACTGTTTCTTGTTCATGTCAGCCAGGGGCCTCTTTTTAGTCAAACTGGCCTCCTCTTTATTAGGATTGGCTTTCTTGTGGTCTTTGACTGCATTGAAAAGTTGAACAATCCCTCTGCAAATTTTCAAATTCATAAATACTGGTTTCTTTTTAAATTTAATTTATTCTTGAATTAGAAAAGAAACAAAGACCAAAATAACTTTGTTGTTAATAATAATTAATACCAGGAAATTAAAAATATTTATCTACTATCTTATTAATTTTTTGTCAAACTTTGTTATAATTATTGACATGAAAATTTTTCAAACTTCAGGAAAAGAAGGAGCCTATCAGATGAGCCTTGATGTTGGCCATCAAAGGCAAAATGCTGAGAGGTATCAGGCAAACCAAAACAGTGAACATGGGTCACCAAGATGATCAGGAACAAAAAAAAATTAAATCCATTGAATTATATAGTTGCAAAATGTATTTTTTTGGGGGAAGAGAATTAAAATGTAGTAAAAAAACTTTCTCATTAAAACAAATTTACACACAGCGTCCAAATTTGACATATCTTGAAATGTAATTTGAACCTTAACCATCATTTGGTTAGATCAAATTACAGATTTGACACTGCAGCCCTCAGAAGAAATTCTTGCAAATTGAATTCATTTCTTCAAATTACATAACTACATTATCATGATAATATAAGTCAAAAAAAAAAATTAAATTAATAAAATAAAAGGGTTGTATTTTATCTATGCTGAGACAATAATACAAAGTTTCCATTCTTTTCTATATCCTATTTTAAAAATAAAATAAAATTTGTATTGCATTATTTTTTATTGGCCAAATATTAAGGGCTAAGGTTACTAGTAGTTGGTCTCTACAGCTTTCCTGAACACCACAACCAATATTAGTCTGTTAAGCTTACAGCTTTTTACCAGATCCCGAAGCTCTTTTAATAGCTTTCATGTGTTATTCAGATCTTGGCTTTTCCTCTCCCAGAAGTAGGAATCTCACCCATACGCAATCACCCCAACAGAGTACATGCTCCGCTGTTTGTTCGTTTTCCTGGAAATATCTGCACAGGTTTGTTTCTGTTGTTCCAAGTCTATACATTCCAGACCAAAATGATCAAATTTTATGACCTTTCGTCTAAATTTTGCGGCACACATCTTTGCAGTAATAATGATATAATGGGAACAATTCAATTAAGGAACATTTCAGAAGCACAGAAAAACAGAAAAAATGGTATTTATGCTACCCGCACATGGACAAAATCATATGATTAACATGTAAAATAAACACTGTAGCATACTGAAAGATAAATACACTAATAAATTAAGGAGGATAAAAATAGTCATGATGTTTTAATTCACTTGATTTTTGTTTTCACCTAAAAATATAATACACAGAGACACCTCTGAAAATGACAAGAAGTGGAAATGGGTCTGACAAAATGATCGGAAATGACCAAAGTATTACATTCATCACCTAACAAACAGAACCCAAGAGGAAATCTCACAATTGATTATATTATTGATAACTAGATTATATTGTTGTTAATAAAGCAAATAGATTCTGGTCATGCAGAAAGGCTTAATGTCCATCCAACTTGGACCAATTGGGATCTGAACCACTTTACAAAAGTTTTTCCAAATTAATCACAAATAAAATCGCAAGGGCTATGCCAAGATTTAAACCCAGAACTGCTAGTACCAACCAAACCCCTCAACCAATGTTGTTAACTTTAATACCTTACATTTTGAACATTCTATGTAATTTAAATTATCAAATCAATCAAATGAACTTGGGTATGAATACCTGGTAGCAATTTTTGCAAGCGCCTTTTCCTTGTCTTTTTGTAAAACATTTGGTTTTTCCCTTCCTCTGGATGTCCACTCTTTCTTCTGTAAATAATGTAAACTTTAGTAAATAGCTTGAAAATGAATTAACTAAAACATTATAAAAAATTATTATTTGGGCATCGTGAGATGCAGTCTGGTGTGACATAGGTTTAGAAAAACATGTTCTTCATCATGCCAGCATTTTGATCTTCATTGAGATCATCTTCAGGGTTCAAAGTGTTTGTTTAGTGTTGTTTACATGTGTCATTACTGTGTGTCGTTTAAACGACACCCCCTCTCATGGGCACTCTCAACACGACACACAGTGATGACACATCTAAACAACACAAACAAACACTTTGAGCCCTGAAGATGATCTCAAAAATGATCAAAACCTTGACATGATGAAGAAAATGTTTTCTAAACCTACGTCACACCAGACTGCATCTCACGATCTCCAAATAATCATTAATTAACAGTCACTAAACGCCATTTTATTATACAAACTATTATAAGTTAATTATTGACCTTTTCAGTCAGATTTTCTGTGGCATTTTTATTGGGGTCTTCCTCATCTTCTTGTTTTAATTTCATCATGGACAACCTTTTGGCTTTGGCTAGGACTATCGTTTTCTTCTTCGGCGGTTTCTTAACACTCAGGATTTTCTTCATCGCATCGGCCCAACCAGAACTGACACCACCCTCTTCTTTCCCATCCTCACTGGACATGCAGCTTTCGTCTGCTTCATCGTTTTCCATAACTTGCGACTCTCCCGGTGAATCAACTTGTGCCGGTGCCATGTCCGAATCGTCACTGTCCATGCAATCGGATTCATCCAAACTATCATCATCTATTGTTACTTTTGATTCTTTGCTCTCCATGCTCTGGGATTTGTTGTTCAACTGAAACTCCTCCGGCACCATTTTTCCTCTGGAAATAACCATTTGATATTGACTATGGAAGGATTCATCCAAAAATATGAATAATACAAGAAATTCATTTGGAAAAAAATACAATACAACATCTAGTAATTTGCAATGTTTAAGGATTAAAGGATTAACATGAGCGACGCTTTGCTATTTAAAATCAATCAAATATATAATTGTAAATAATTGCAAACATAATTAATTTAATCTTAACTTACTCAGTAAGAACACTTTGAAGGTGAACCGTCACGTGTTTACTATACAGAACGGTAACCAGCTGGAAGGTAGCACAAGCATTCTCCATGCGTTATTTTTATGACGTCACAATATGAGATTGGATAATTTACTTACATAAATGTAAATAACATATAATTAATAATTACAAACCATATTATAACACCAGCCAATAGTTCAACTATCAATAACTACATTAAGTATTTCAGCCGGAGTGGTTTGGTTTCATGCTAGGTCTATCTACCGTAGCCAGGATAGTAAATGACGTAACATACCCTTTAATGCAAAAAGCATACCGGTATAGTTTTGATAGATATTCAAAAGGCCTTTGACACTGGTTAGCATAATGGTATGGTGAGCATGATGGTCCTTTCCTACATAATAAAAATAGACCACTCCTAAACAATGCAGTTTCCTTTCAAACATCCCTTTCCGAATGGAGAGACATTGTTACTGGTGTTCTTCAAGGTGATTTCCTTGGACCATTCTATTCCTTGTAATAAACAAAATATCTCGCCTAAGAACATAAAAATGTTTTCAGCCTACACGAGGAGATATTTACATTGTTTTGCGAGGTAAGTGTAATAATTTTAAGTTGATAGGAAAGAAAATAGTTATTATGGAGTTCCACAAAATTAGGATAGACACTATCAAAAAATTAATAATTGTTTGTTTGTTAGGCTATCTCAATAACTATTTCTAAATTAAAACAAGGTACTGAACATAGGCAGACTGTCCGACAATCATCAAAGTGGGATCATCATTTATGTTGCAATTTTTGAATTGAGAATTTTTCCCTTATTTTCTCAATGTTGATGATTGACCTACTCTACTTTCAGGAAGTTTAAAATTTAATCCGAAACTATAACAATGTTCTTCATTCATTTCAAGCCAACAAATGCATTTGTGTTTTTAATTTGCCTATTTCATATATGAATGAGTTCTCTTGTGTAAAAATCTATTCATTAGAGGACGGTACAGGAGGAAGAGGTAGGTCAACATCCAAAACTGCTTGTCTTGTCTTCATTTATATTGTGTTACTTATACATGGCAAAATTTAATTTCAAGAGAACATTATAATGTAGGACACTTTGGATATGAAAATTGTTTTGAACTGCTGTGGGATTTTCTGGATCCCTAGAATGAGATTTTGGTATCAGTGTTATCATGTTTGTTCTTGTTATTGCCAATGGGATAGGCCTTATATATATATCTGTCCAATGAAGGTGAAACTGTAGACCTCGATGATGGTCCAGGAGGCAAAACTTACCATAATATGTAAATGTACAGGTGATCATGGCGAAGAATGCTAATGGGTTCAAATCCCAACCAGAATCCAGGTCTTTTTAACTGATTACAGGCAGTACTCCTCCTTATTCTGCAGGCAGGACTAGATGTTATTTTGCCATTAATGTGCTTATAGCGATATGTTGTAGGTTTTGGGATAAAAGAACAAGAATGTGAAATGTAAGTTGTAAGAAACTAATGTAAAAATAACAATTACTTGATCATTTTAGCAACAAAAATTAGCATAAGTGCATTAATTGATGTAACAGTTCCACAACCTTTTAACTGTGGTGGCCGATTGATGATTAGGGTTTCTGAGTCGTATTTGATACAGTAGCGGTCCTAGTCCAATTGAAAATAATATTAATATGAAAAATATATTGTAAAGTGGATTATCTTATCCACAACATCAAATAGATAAATGTTGTTTCCACTGAAAACAAGCACAAATATAGAAATGCAGAATTTCTTTTTTGTTTGTTGATTTGGTTGTTTATTTTATCTCTTAGACATCCAGTTTCCTTTTTAGATATTCTAATCTCTACCTCCACTGTATTATTTTTTTAATCACCAAATTTGGTAAATAGGACAAGAGGTTCACTTAATAAAAAATACAGTCATATATTATGTATTGCAGTAGATAAAATACACTTATACATCAAAATAGAACATTATAGTATTATAATAAGTTTATTGTGGACTTAACAACCAATAAATACTAAGGGCAAAACAAGCAATTCTCAGAAATATTAACCAACAAATCAAAAAAACTTAATAAAGGGGTTTTCGTAAATATGCTACCTGAATAATGACACTTAGAAATAGTGAAGCAAATAGGTAAATGGACTGGATAATGTTACTAGCACATGGCCAACAGTCAAATGGATTAATTTATCAGTTGAAGACCATACAAATAAAAAGACAAAAAAAAGCAAAGCAAAATCTTTGAAAGAATATTTACATATTTAAGAGAATGGCAAATTTATAATTGGACAAGTTTTCATATTATACCCTTAAAGGCCAGTCACCAATTATTGTTATTAATACTTAACCGTTTTCTTGCAAAGAGTGACTTAAGTTGTGTGCTCTTCTGCAATTGTGGGAGTTGAAACAGGTGAAGTAACTTTTTCAGAGTTTCTGTATGCTTCGTCAAGACCGTGCAATGATGTGGAACGTGGTGAAATTGCCACCTTTGTCTGCAAAACCACAATTCTTTTCAATATATAATTATTTCCTGTGTTACACACAAAAACCATTAAAAAAATAAAATAAAACATTTAAAAAAAGGGCCAAAAATGTGTGTAAAATTTTATTTATATAAACAATGTGCTACAAATTCAATCTTCCTTTAATTACAGACTTGGCACTCTGTACCTTGACATTTTCATAAGCCGATCCGACTTTTTCTTCCAATGATCTAAACGATTCTGAGTTTTTCAACTGGCCGAGTTTGTACGAAATTCCAGAACCAAGCCCACCAAGTATAGAAGACGTCTTCTCAGTTGTCGCCTTTATTACAGATTCAGTTTTCTGATAACTGCAATAAATCAATTTACAATTTAAAAAATTTTCCTTCTGTAAAATGAAAAATACAAGTTGCAATTAGCATAAGGTATGAGGAAAGAGAAAGGAAAGGACTAACTAAAAACAAAAGAATTAAGCTGAAAAGTAAAAATTGAAAAATGTGTAGATAATAACGGAAAGGATTTTTCTTTCTAACAAATTTTAGAAAATATCCCAACAATTTAATAAAACAAAAACAAACAAACATGCAAAGGAAAATAAAGACTTACAGCGGTGCATCAACCACAGCTTTACAAAATTGTTCCACACTCTCTTCTAACCGATGATAACTAAGTATCAATAAAATCAAAAATAAATATATAAAAATTGTCTTCGTGAAAACAAAATATAATAAAATTAAAAAAAGGTGATAAAATAATACATGAAACTCCCCATTGTTAATTTAATTAAATAAAATAATTAAAACTTTTTATAATTAAGAAATAAATATTGATTAGACTAGATACACATTTAATGGGGGGAAAATTTTCCCATGCTAGATTGATCAAAAAATAATGACTGATTTTCCTCACATTCAAGACGATTAAATATTATTTGTGTGACCAAATATTCATTAACACTTTGTGACAAGTTAGCCAGTTTCTTAACATTAGGGGCAAGATTGATTGAACAAAGTTATATCATATTTATTTAAAATGTGTGCAGTGCATAGCAAAGATGAAACAAACTTTAAAATTAAAAAAATACCAATTCATATATGCCACTTTTTATCCAACCGAATTAATGCTAATTTAATTGGCCAGTACCAGTGAAGCCATGTTTGGTCATCACTGATAGCTTTAACCCGAGCATGTAACCAGTAAAAGAATTTAATCAAAAGCCTTTTGTTTTTAGATAGGATTGCATAACAATATTGCTAACAAGTCACTCATGAAAAGGTACAATATACGTATCAGGAAATATAATGTTTTAATAAGGAATTATATTATTTTCTGATCAACCCTTTCAAGATTAACTGTCTTGCTGACTTGTTTGCAAAATAAAACAGAGGAAGGGTTACTTTTTGGGGAATATAAAAAAATATTTCTACCATGCTCTGTATGCTCATTTTTTTGATAAAAGCACAATTACTAAAGTATTAAATATCCAAGTTAATAGGATTACAGTGTTAAGATGTATAATTAATAAGTAGTGAAAAATTTGAAGTAATGCTATTATTTCTTATGATGCTTACAGCATCAAATGTGCAATCAAATGGTGCAACATAGCAAGTTAACAATTTGGCTCATTCTCCGGGCCAATATCAGCACATTCTAAGTGTAGAAATAAGATAAATTTCGTATATTAAGTGAAATGTCATTTACTGTTCATATTTTAGTATTTAAAAAAAAGAAAAACTTAAGGCAAAAATTACAGAATTTTTCAGAGTTGAAGCAAGTTAATAATACTTTGTTTAATTAAATTTTAAAAAAACAAACCGAAAATCAATTGTAAAACTGTTCTTATGAGTTAGGTTAAAAAGCAGTCAGTTGTAAAAATCAACAAGCTAACGGGTTTTTGGTCTGAAGATAGGGACAAGGTTAAGCCTAATTAAATTTATTTGATATTTGGTCTACTTACACATTTGAGTTTTTGACATTCCGCAATCCTTGGTTCATATCATCTTGAATCCCTTTCCACACAGAAATACCGAGCTTTTGCTTCAGTTTCTGAGCGTCTTCCAATTTAGCAGCGAGAACAGTTCTCAGCGTACTGATCTGATCTTCAAGCTGAAATACAACAAAACAGATAACAAATTAAATGTAATCACCTTGATTCCACAAACTGGACACATTGAAAATAAAAGAATTAAACACACTTCGAATGCTGCTAAGTCACAAATATTTATTTTTAGATATTTGTTTACAATTATACTTTTGACTACATAAACGTAAGAAATTTATACAAACTTGTTCGAGTTCTGCAGCCCATTCTTGCCTCTGTTTTTCCTGTTCTTCGAGAGTTAATCCAGACAATTCATTAATACCAGAATCTGGAGAAGTGTCTGTGAGAGTTTTATCTGAAAAATAAACGAATATTTTTTTCAATTTTAAACTTAAATTGCTACTTATTTGAGACTCTTACTAAGGTCGATCGGTATGAATTCACTCATTTTAACCTACTTTTTGATAAATTGAACTGAGAAAGGAATATGTAAATATCCAATTAAAAAGCATTGTTTCCACAAATGTGGGAAACAGATGGAGGGGGTATAAATTACACAAACAAGGATTTGAACAAAGTAAAGCAATAAATGGGAAATCAGCTGTTTATTGAATTTATTAATTATTATGAACATTATTTTTATTGGGTAGATGAAACAAAAATTGATAAGTAATACTTAAAATTAATAACTTTAACTTCTTATAACGATTGAACAAAATTAGCATTATGAGTAAACCATGTAGTCAAATTTTTTGTCAAAAATTGACTGATTTTTATATAATTTAAGTTTAATTTCAATCTCTAAGAAATTGTGTAAATGTTTAAATCATTATGTTGTGATGGACTATTTTCAAACTTCAATTACACAAAAAAAAAGTATTAACGCAAGTCTTATCTTAGATGTGACTTTCTCTTAATGGATTATAAGGGAGAAAAGAAAGTGTAACAACTGAGCAATTATTATAAATTCAAGTATTCGCATGAATTGCTGCTGTTTAGTTTTGTAAAACCTTATTACAATTCTTAATTTTTACTTTGAACATGACAAACAGAATTGCAGATGTAATGATTACCATTTTTAATTTTTTAAATCAATTCCCAACATGAAAATAATAAAACAAATAATATTAGCACAACAATCTTAATACATTTTTGGAATCTGTCTTCATAATTTTTTTTAAACAGAATTCATTCAATTTTGTAAAGGATATTTTGCTTAATTAAACTGTTATTGCTGTTTTATTTGAATGGTGGTGGTGGTCGGGTTGGGGTCGGGGTACCCTAGAACGAAAGTTTGGTATGTATCAAGGTAACAAAAACGTGAACAAGGAGAAAAGGAATGCCCAGACTAAATCACCGCATTCTGGCCTTCCGCCATTAAAAATAAGATAAATATGATCAAAACAAAATGACACCAAGAGGCTGCAATGGTTTAAGCATTGATATGGCGCTCATCACCAGATTCTAACCCAATGGCCCTGCATTCAAACTCAACATACTTACAAATGGGCATTTTTTCAAAAACACCGGCACCCTGAAGGTTGAAACGACCTCTGCTGTTGCAAAACCTCATTAAAACAAAAATTAATAATAATAAAAAAAAAAAAAAGACAGCATCATTGGGCTGGATTGCTGAAAAGCTCTTACACATAAAGAGCATAGCCAGTAGTTAGCTCTTGGATAATTCTAATTGTAAAAGAGGAATCATTCTCACACAATTTAGAATAGACCATAGAAAAATATCTGTAGTAATATTTCAATTCATTTTGTGAAAATAACATGAACCTATTTTATTATGATAATAGTAAAATAATATAATCCAATTTTTTTTCTTAAATGGACATTTTATCATATGCTGAATCCTAGAAGTTCTCACCCGACTCAAAATAAATGGCTGACACTTAAACATTCTATTTTGGGCCAAAGCCTTCGTAAGTACAATAGTATGTTGAAAAAGCTCGCTCCTTATGTCACATGTAATTAAAGGGAGTGATTTTTCGGCTCCTTACAAGGGAATACCACTTGATTTGAGGTGCATGTATCCAGCGGTATTTTGGACCCTGTTTCGATGTTTGAGGCAAAATATGTCTCTGGAATGCCATCAAAACCAGAATAAGTGCTTTCAGAACATGCCCTGAGAAATCTAATCCAAAAATGGTAAGGTTTTGAATCAGGTTTTAGCTTGTAAGTATAATAAATTCAAGAACGATATTCAGTATTTTTTACAATATTACAATTAATTAAGGTTTTTAGTTGAGATAAAAAAGTCAATGTCAAGAGCAGGATTCGAACCCACAATCTTCGGCTTGATACGCCGCTGCTCTACCACTTGAGCTATCGTGACCTCGATCCACTAGGACATCAACTTCCCATCTCAAGCGCACCTTGTGAATTTCCCTCATTTTTGCCATTTATGGCATATTTATAAATGGCCAAAAGGAGAGAAAATTCACAAGGTGCGGTTGAGTTGGGAAGTTGATGTCCGAGTGGATCGAGGTCACGATAGCTCAAGTGGTAGAGCAGCGGCGCATCAAGCCGAATATCATAGGCTCGTGCCATTGACTTTTTTACCTCAACTAAAAACCTTAATTAATTGTAATATGTTATTTGGTCAAGCAGACCACGAAATTAGTGAATTTAATTTTTTTTAATATATATATTCTTTTTCTATAAAATGTTTGACTTATTTATACCAGCATTGACGCAGACAAGGGGTTCGATGAAAACATGCCACTCCATTGGCTAAAAAAGAGACCGTGGATGAAGAACTGGAAGAAATATTAAATAGTGCAATCATTGCCTCTGGCTGATACAAAAATGGATGAGAAAAGGCTGACCCAGGTGATCTTTGGGGGCTCGGAATTCAAAGCACCAGAAGCTCAAGAGGAGTTGAATAAAAGATTAAAGAAATTTTTTCAAGCATGGTTGATGGTGCTTTTGGTAGACCGGAAGATTACAATGATTTTGAATGGACCGAAGATATATTTCAGACAGAACATCTTAGGATACGGATTTTACAAATAAAATATCCCAAGCAATTAAAAGTTTATCAGTTGATGTAGAAAACATGAAGACTCCACTGGGTCCTGCGGTGTTCTCTTCCTATTTTGTTAATCTGGTATGACAGGAAATTTTTTTTATCTATGAGGTATGATTATTAAATCATGTTTATTTCAAAAGTTTTGCTGCCCCCTCCAATGGAAGCTATGTTCTCGAATGGTTTGGAAAAAATTCAGAAAGTTTAATCATTGGACGTCAATTATTATTGCTTTTAGTTATAATTAACTTAATCTTTCGATATTGTTATTATCTTGAGTAAGTAACTCAAAGGTATGTACTTTGGGTAAGCATACAACTCAAATACAACAATTATATTTTCTTATTATTATACTATTATGACATAGTGGATGTCTATTCTATTATGACATAGTGGATGTCTATTCGTATTGATAAATTCAAGGGAAATGATTCTCCCACCGCATCCTTAATCAATTGAGGATGGAGGTTGTTTAGTGGAGTGTGGTCGCAGGATCCGCCGAAACGAAATCGAATAACTTTCAGGCTAAAACCAAGCCAGAAAAAGAAAACGAAAGGGTATCTCGTCGCAAATGGTGCAAATGAAGGGAAAACGGCCGTTTTCTCTCCCATAGGATAGTCCACCGGAAATGTAGACCGTGAAATCTAGAACGCACGTCCGACACAAAGCAACGGTTAACGGTTAACATTTTTGTAGTAACCGTGAATTTCGAAAAATTGACTTTCTGTCATTACAGAGACAAAGAAATTACCATAGATGTTAGCCTGAAATCCGATCTGCGTATGTTTTTTTCAGTGTACTTGTTATATAACCAAGGCCCAAGCATGAACACGACATCATTATTTAAGTTTTAATTTAATTTAAAAATACCAAGTATAATCAGAAGAAATGGTAAAAAACCTATGACATCGGCGAAGTTAATTTCTGAACAACCTCGTGCGCAGTACACTAGCAACTTTGTACTTTCTGTTCAGCTTTCTCACTAAACGAGTCATAAAAATGGTCTTTAGTTTATTTTCTATTTTAAGTTTTGGCTCAATAGCCACTACGAAATATTTACCAAAGGTGGAAAGATAAATCCACCTATAGAGAACCTTAGGCTAGGATTTAAAATAACAATATAATCTGATTAACCTTGGATGGAAAACCTGCACAATGACTAAGAGTTAAATCCCTAAAACCAAATCCAGATAAAACAATTTAACCACTTTTCCTCCCTTATCAATATGACTGTATTTATTACAAACTTCCTGAATCAGGTCCTGGATCGAAATTCTCCATGATTCACAATGGATGATTTGCTATTAAAAAAGGCCTTAAATTTAAAATAAAGCTGTCTATTATTTACTACAATAATTATTTCATTCCATAGTTTAGCAATAATTGGTGTAATTAAATTAATCTCTAAAAACCACTCGGTGTAAATCTAAAATAACCGAGCGCCAATTTGTGCTGGCGCTTAAGTGATATAATTATTCAAAGGATTTTTTTTTAAATACCGATAAACTGTTGGAGATATCAACAAAACAATCTTGCTATGTTTAAAAATCGAAAAAGAACAACGGGCAATATACCTTGAACTTTGACGTCCGAGAAGAGTTTCCTACTAGCATGATTTCATACACAGAAAGCATGACCACCTAGGAAACTTAATTTTATGCATGAAGTAAGAAGAGAAAAAAGACTAGATTTCGACTGAAACTGCGAGTTGATTAAAAAAATGAATTATAAATTATTTTGTTTCACTTCACACAATTATTACTACATAAAAGGAGAAAGAAACGATTGTGTTAAGAAGGAATTTTGAAATTATTTAATTAGAAGCAAACTAATATTTCTTAATAGACATAAATTAAACGGCCAAAAAATGGGGAGCTTTTTAGTATTCAATATGCTTCGCTGGTGATGTAAAATGTTTTTGTTGTTGACAAGTGTGAGATGTCCCCTTGAGATATGAAAGACGATTGACTTGTTTGGTCGTTTCCGATCATTTTGGTTTGTCTATTTTGGTCGTTTTGGTGTGTTTCGTGTTCCGACTTGTCACGATATTCAGTGGCGCTTGTGTCACAATTCCATAGGCAGAAATGATCGTAAGTGACCTAACTTCAAGTACAATATGTTTCGTGTGAATGCTTCGGTAACACTAGTGCACGGTTTTCAGACGTAGGTCATCTCAATAAGATTTATGTAACTGAAAGAAAGTCATATTCGTTCTAAAAAAAAATGGTGAGAAATTGGTACGAACCGCCTTCATTGACGAGATGCAAGAAGTTGGTGTAGTTTTTAAGACTCGTTACTTTAGGAACATAGGGTTTGGAAACGTCTTGAAACTTCACTCGGACTTGTTTTGATTTTGTGTTGCCCTTTTTCTCGTCGTAGAATTCCGTCTCGACGGTGACAGTTTCTGGAAGGTCTGTGAACGAGGACGGCTCGGAAAAATCATCAAGGCTCAACTCGTCGACTATATCGACGATGTCACCTACACCGTCCTCGACGTCGAAGCTCGGAGTTTCCGAAGGCGGTACGAGAGCGAAATCGTCTTCGTATTCGAGGGAGGTCGTTTCTTCGGTATCGAGCTCGAACTTCTTCCTGTCATCCATTTTGCCCGCATAGTGGTAACACAGTTAACAATCACAGCAACGATTTCGGGGTTGTTTGGTTGGAGGGATTTCTTCACAAGGGAAACGTGTGCATTTCGTGTCGAGGTGCCACGTCGACGGCAGCAGCCTCAGGCCACAACTAAAACCGCTCCTCCTCCTGGCGAGTCACGTTTCCCCCCTTGGAACGCCGACCTTTGTGAAAGTCACAACTTGATCCAGTGATGCTTGGCAGAGACCAACCGTAATTCCCTACCAGCAGACAATTTTTCTCTCAAAACCGCTGCGTAGTTCAATCCTTATAAAAATAATACAATAACCTTCACAAACCACAATACAGTACGCATTTTTTCCTCAAGTCAAAGACTCAACACCAAGAGATACAAATCTGACGTAATTTATAAATTAATTTATAGATTGATAATTAATTAATGTCCAGCTACATACATTGGTATTACATCGCAATATCTAGAAAAATGGAAAAACAATACATTTATGATTATAAAACACCAAAATTTAATCACACAGCATTGGCCACACACCATTTCCTACAAATGGTTTACATTAATAGTCAAACAAATCACGCTTAAGTGGTTAGAGCAGCGGCGTACTGAAACGAAGGTCATGGGTTCGAATCCCGCTCGTGACACTAACTTTTTCATCTTAACCAACACTTTAGATAAAAAGTATAATTAATTGAAAGAAGTAATTTGATCAATTAGACCACTAAACATAATGGTTTTAATTAATTTTTATCGCCGAGACACCTTTACAACGTTTAGCCATATTGATAAACGAACGATAAACGATTTAAAACATGTTTAAATAAAAAAAGCTAAAAAACGACCTTCGGCTGGGTTCGAATCCCGCTAGCTATTTCATTTCAACCAAGACGTTACATAAAAAGAAAAATTAATTTATTAAAACAACGTATTCCAGAATACATCATGCATGGCAATGGGGTTTATACCAACAACTGACTTTATTCAACGGAAATTTTGAAGTCATTGGAAAGGTCAACAACACACTCCCAATAAAAGAAGACTTAAACCAAGTTTGCTGCAAGCATCTTCTTGTCAAAATGGATCATTTTTAAATATTATTTTCTAATACAAAAAACATGTTTGTTCCTGCCGTTGTTGTTAATTTATTTCTATCCCGAGTTTCTATATTCCAAACTATCGCTAAATAGTTTTATCGAATTTTAATTAGTTATACTTTTTATCTAAGGTCTCTGTTGAGATTAAAAAGCAATTGTAAAGAGATTCGAACCCAACTTCGGCTCAATACGCCGCTGCTCTAACCACTTGAGCTCTCTTCACGTTAAGTTTTATTTAAGTTAAACTAATTAATTAATTATGCAGTAAAATTTAAATTACACCATGTAACGAAACGGTTTTGTCCATTTATACAGAGTTTGTCCTATCGACTGTATCTAGTCTATTCATCGCAATGTTGCTTATGAATGTGAAATCATAGCTTCATTATTCCATCAAAACCCTTTCTTAAGGTTGTCCATTTATAGTATTTTCTAAACAATCCCATTTATCATTAGATGCTCATTAGATCTTTTGGGTGTTGGAGTAAAATGTGCAACTATGTAACATTTATGTTTTCCATTGGGGGTCGCAATGTCATTATACAATGAGGTGCTTAACGTGCGCACCTGGCACATATGCCATATCACACGTTTAAATTCTCAAGGAGCAACCCACTCAGGTAAGATAGTGTGAACCCCGTGAGGTTCGGTGTAGAAGCCATCACATCCACAGACTAATCATATAGACATGCCGACTTCTTCCGCTTGCTTCTTCCGAAGAGAGGAGTTAACATTTTGCACTGTGACGCTGCAGCGAAAAGACAACCGTATGCCGCGCGTAAAGGGATACCCGAAAGGGCTGAAATGCATCAGCTGGTCTCCCACGCACTCCCTAAATAGAGAAGACAACACTATCTCTCTAAGGGTAGGGGCCTCGCCAACGTCGAAACTACCGGATCCGTTCCGGCCGCGGTTTCGTTTAAAGTGGAATTTCTAACCACCCTCTAGAGGAACCTGCCTTCGGTAAAGGAAGCCCATAAGGGCACCACCGAACAACAAGCTCTTCTCAAAGTTCTCACCAGGAGCCTCACCACTAAGCTATTTCGAGTCCATTCCCATGCAGCTAGAGTGGACTTGGAACTTTCGCTGCCCCGTAGTTCAGATGGTTATGCACCCTCCCCCGTCTATGAAGAAAGGATCTGGTACCCTAACCCTCCTGTGCCTCTGATCCAGTACCCGCTGTTGGCAAGCTCGCAAGCCAACAACGCCCTTAATGCATTTCGGGGGACTGGGTAGGTCTTTGCATCCTCGCATGCTATACACTTCCTTCGTCCTATCTTCCAGATGCGGAGGGTGCTTAAGTAGATAAGCGCGCTAGGAAACACGAATACAGCTTGTGCTTTAGAGCCGTCACGCTCTCTAGGCTACACCACTATTTTGTGCCTGGAAGCCCAAGGGTTGGGAAGTGTCTATTAGAGTTTCCTTGTAGCACTCACTGCACAGTCCCGGGAATTGGATTGAGAGAAAAGGACATGCCGAGGCCCAAGCCTCTAACACGATCTACCGCTCATTGTTACCGTGGTCCTTAATCATTAAGGTACGGTTCCTTTTAACAAGCCGGACATCCAGTTATATAATCAAATATTCTTAACTTCCACTCACTAGGACCTTTTCTTTCCAGTTGCTCACTCCGTAAGAAGTTATTAATTTTAATTTTGTAAAGTTATGTAAAAGTGAACAATCAGATAATTGGGTAATAAACCCGAATTAGATTTAGTTTTAATTTGGATTACGATTGTTCAATCCTTTCACAAATGCCCTCATTCGCCCCTAATCTCTGACACATTCATTTTAACGTCCTGACAAATTCATCTAATAACAGATTCTAAATAATGAAAATCTCTTTCACGACGAATACAAGAGCAGCCTTCTGTGAACGCTGAAATGATGCCCTCGCCTCAAAGTGTTATAATTTTCTGAAGTTGGTCTTACAATGCACTATCGATAGTGAACACACTATGATCAACTCATCAACTTTATTTGTGTCCACTCCGGCCAATTAATCATAGGATTCTTTATAGTGAAAAATGATAGTAATGACGTAAGAAGTTAGCACATATCAACAAACTACCCACTTTGCTGTTTTGGCGGTCCGGGAGTCAAACCACTCTCTCAGTACCGCCGCCGAAATTAGGTTCTAGAGACTGCCAACACGCGTGCAGAATTAAAAGCTATACATAACCCCACAAATTCTTAAATAAATTATTTCCGATTTGCATACTATTCGCTTAGATGTAAGAGTGGTAGAGAATTCGATCGCGTAAGGTAATATTCCATCAACGGCCCTCTTGCACCACACATTCACGCTAATAAATACATCCAATCTCCAATAAACACGAAACGAGATATCTATACGTACTATATGCGAAAGGAAGAATCCCGTTTCCTCCAAAAATCGTAACAGGGGGCTCAAATACTCGCTACCAACTTTTTCTAATTGAATGAATAGTTATTCAGATATCGTGAGATGCGGTCGGGTGATGAATCATTGAATTCTCATACCGAGTGGCATTTCTACGCGATCTCTATATGCCAAAGAATGACAACATTCAATTAAGTGGAATATACCGAGCAACGTTTCTCTACACGCCTGATACATGCTTTGGCTTAAAAAATAAGTGTCTATGTGTCAACCTCACTTGGCCTATTCTTAATCGAGTGAGGATGCTACCTCTTTTAATATTCAGATCGATCGTGCTCTTGAGGTAGACTAAACAACATGAATTTGGTTAAAAGAAAAACCCACGTTCGTTAAAATGTATGATTTTCCTTTTGAATACATTTGCACTCTTTTAATTTCTAAACTAACCCATCTATTTAAAAATAAGGCGGAAAAACTGAGGTGAGGACAACAAACACAAATGAAAAACTCCTGAGACCAAAACATAAAACAAATTCACTAGTTTTCGTGGTCCGCTTGACCAATTAATATCTTGAGATAATAAAAAAACTAGACAAAACCAACAATCTTACAAAATAAGCCAATACGGAAAAACATCGGACATACAGGAAGAAAAATGAAAGAAAGAAACAGAAAAAAATGTAACGACATGCAGGGAACTAACGCCGGAAAATCAAATACAAAACCTACAACAATACACACAAGCTTACAATTAAAAGGTTGAAAAATGGACATATGTGAAAACCAAGAAATATGTACAATTTCATGAATACACGACCTACACAGTCCTTTCAAATATAAATGAGTATGTAGTACGAAAATATAAATGAGATTCGACTAAGCAGAAAACTACACTAACCAACAATAAAGACGTCGAGAATAGGCAGGTCAAAAATGATCGGAAACGACCAAACTGCATTTATTACACCGCAGATCCCAAGAGGAAATGATCAGTCATACAGACATTCAATTGAGAAATCTTTCTAGTGCATTGGTAGTAAGTTAATAGTAATAATCTCAAACAAACTAATCTTGCTCCTGAAAAAAAAAATTTTCATTTTTACCCATAATTCGTAAAAGTATGTTTAAGCAAGGAATAAGACCGATTACGGGAGATGACGAAAGGCCGGTTGGCAATATCGACCATTTCGGTGAAACCATGGGAATAGATCAACACCAAATAAAGGAAAACTAGGCTATAAAAGGTTTTTCCCCATGAATGTACTAACAAACGAAAATACATAAAATGGATAGTTTATTTATTTTATTGAAACCCCTCGACGCGTTGGACATAAGACCACAAGTCGTTCTAAGGTGTTTCTTTCTGTTATGTTACACATGAAACATAATATCTACATAATGATGGATATTTTATTGTGAGACAAACAAATTGTGAATGACTTGTTTATTAATTTAAAACCGATCGAATGTTTTAATCCAGGAAGAAAAGCTAACGTGTCAAAATTCGTTTGTTGTGTTTTAAACTCTTCCAAGAGGAGGAAAATTTTAAAAATACACACAAAGCTAGCCGCTTTGGAACCCAACGTGATTAAAAGACGAAATCTCCGTCTTTAATCTTTATTTACACTGATTAACGCAACCTTAACATGCCTTGACATAAAGATACTATTGGTTGATATTATATAAATAGGT